GACCTGGCCCGACTCTGCGCAGTTTTTACTTTTGCCGACTCTTTTAAGCAACCTTGATTCCCTCACAATTGACTTCATATTGAGGACACTACAGGCAAAATCCGACGAAATTCGTGACCTCCTGGACCAAGTCGTAAAATATATGAAACTTCTTCATTCTGAGCCTGCATCTGTCGCTTCGGGGGAGCGCTCGTTTAGTGCCTTATGCCGCATTAAAATGCATCTATGCAGCCGCATGATTCAAGGGAGGCTAACATGCCTCCTCATTTTGTGCATTCAAAAAGGAAGAGTGTCGAGCTCAACCTGGACGACATCATCAAAAAATTTGTCTCCAGGACCGCCGAGCGATGGGCGACCTTTAGTCTTCTTCGAGACGATCAACGCACGTGGCTTTGGGGCCTACATGTGGATCTGTTTCCTTCAGCACGCTTTTGTGCACATTTTCACAATATGCATTAAGATGTCATTGTATATATGTAATTATCTTGGTTTACTTGTTCATTTCATAGTGTGGATGTCTTTTTGAATGAGCATTTCAAGAATAATAAACGTGATTCTCTGCAAACTCAGTTTTGCAATGCTGTGTATCCCCGTAGGAATTTTTAAATTGTCTGAAGCACTGTGCGTAAGTGTTTTTGCCATATTAGTGAGTTTTGGTGGATCGTACCTAAAAGCTTTGAAGGTCAGAATGTGCATGCGCAAAAAAGCAGTACAGTTGAACCTCAATTTAACGAAACCCGATTTAACGAGCAAATTCGGATTCCCCGCGCAGCCTATCCCGAAGAATGTGTTTCTCGACTTTACGAAGTTCCCGATTTAACGAAATAATTAGGGGGTCCCGGCGACTTCGCTAAATCGAGGTTCAACTGTATTGCATTCTACGCGTGTGCATTTCTGACCCACAACTGTGTTGCGTACGAGCCATTAAAACTCCCTACTGTTGTTATAAAGCAGGAAGGAAAAGTGATTGCACATGCTAAGTAAGGAACTTCATGCAAATAATATTTGATATTTTAATAAACAGTAAGTAAAAATAAAATTACAGAAATTTGGCTGCAGCCCTTGTCTCCTATAATAAAATATGCAAAAACAAAATGCTGACTTCAGCCCCCCCACTCAAAATCTACTTCCGGAGCCAGGAAAACTAGCTGCGGCAACGCCTGAAGGTGGTGTTGCCGAAAACGATTGAAGTCAAGAGACTCCAAGAACGCAGGAGCACATCCACTCTTCCGAAGCCACGTATCGCAATGACGCTCCTGCAACAGTGCGCAACAACCTAAACGTTACTGAGGGCCACGACGCATCAGCACTTGTGGACACCGGAGCAGACTACACAGTTTTGAGTGGGAGACTCTCTCACCGCCTTCAAAAAGTGACGATGCTGTGGGATGGGTCACAGATACGAACCGCTCGAAGACACATCACGCCTGTCAAAAGATGAACTGCTTGCGTCAAAATTCACGGCGAGACGTGTCTTGTAAAATTCGTCGTTCTACAAGACTGTGCCAGAGACGTCATTCTCGGCATGGACTTTGTGTGAATACGGCGCCGTCATCGACCTTGGAGAGAACAGATTGACGTTGCGGACACCTGTTCCGCCTTCAGAAAAACCCCAAACAGCGTCAGCCACCGTCCGAGTATCTGCCGACCACGAAAACCTGCCGCCACAATCATGTTGTTGTACCCGTCGTAGCAGATTCAGCTATCTGCGGAGAAGTTGTTCTGGAAGGCAACATTCAATTGCTCCTGGGAAAACGAATAGGCATCACAGGAGAAATAACTGAACTTCAGGATGGGCGCACTGCGGTCCTCATGACGAACTTCCGACAAGAAACGCAACACCCCTTGAAAGATATCACTGTGGGCCATGTCGAGGAACTCCGGAACTAAGCCGAAATCACCGCAAGAACTGAAGAGTCCTCGTCACCTCAGCAAGACAGTATGTCTCCCGCACAGCTCGACATTGATCCGAGCTTCCAGACCCGAAACGACGGCGCTTGATTAACCTCCTCGCCGAATACCGGGATTGCTTTGCGACGTAGTCGAAGGTGAGCAAAACCACCACCGTTGAGAAGCACTGCATCATTACCGAGGATGACGTGCTCCCTGTGCATCGGTCACAATACCAAGTCTCCATAAACGAAAAGGGGGTCATTCAGGAGCAAGTACATGAAAATGCGGAACAACGATATAATCCAGCCTTCAAGCAATCCGTGGGCCTCATCAGTAGTACTGGTTAAGACGGAACGCTTTGGTTTTGCGGGGACTATCGGCAGCTGAACACAGTGACGAAGAGATATCTATCTACTTCCTTGCATCGACCAAATGCTAGACCGGCTGTGTCACTCTCGGTATTTTTCATAGATGGACTTGAAGAGCAGCTACTAGCAGATCGAAGTTGACAAACAGGACCGAGAGAAGATAGCCTTCGTCACGCCGGATGAACTGTAGGAGTACAAGGTAATGCCCTTCGGACTATGCACGGCGCCAGCAACTTTCCAGCGTGTCATGGACACCGTACTGGCGAGACTGAAGTGGCAGACCTGTCTTGTCGACCTCGACGACGTCATAGCGTTTTCAAGTTACTTCGACGTGCACTTGCGACGACTCCGAGCTGTTCTCCAAGCCATGCAGTCCGCCGGACTCGCACTCAAGCCGTCAGACTGTTCTTTCGCCTCTGACGAGTTGATGTTCCTAGGCCACATGGTTAGTAACATTGGCGTCTGCCCAGGCCCCAAGAAAACTCGTGCAGCCGCGGGACTTCCAGCGCAGACAGACAAAAAGGCCATGCAAAGATTCTTTGGACTTTGTGCCTACTTTCGACGTTTGTTTGGGATTTCGCAAGGATTTCTGCACCGCTCACAAACCTTACGAAAGATGCCGAGATGTTTGAATGGGCCGAGGAGCAACAGCAGGCATTCGCAGGCTGAAGCGAATACTCTAGACTTCTCCTGTTCTTAGACCCTTTGAATAGGACGCAGAAACCAAGATTCACACAGAAGCTAGTAGTGCAGGACTCGGGGCGGTACTGGGTTAAGTGCAAGGAGGCACTTAACCCAGTACCCTTTGGTACCGGGTTGCCCTTTGGTGAACACTTTCAACTGATCTTACAAGATAAACCTCATTGGAGTTTTGTATGAAGCTGCAGTACTCTAGGTGTTGCAGGACCAAGGCTGTGAAAGGCACCTAAGTGTGTTATGGCCTGTTCTACTAGGCATGCGAAGTACAAAATTCAGCGTTCCACACGTTTTGGACAAAATTGTTGACATGCTGTGAGAAGAAATGTAGCTGAATGTTTATTGCAGACCTTCTCAATGTTGTTCTGCAAACCCTCGTGGTTTCTGGGGTCACCTGATAAGCGGCACCAACATCCGGTTGTCCGTAACAGCAGTGGAGTCGATTGCAGAGAGGCATTATTATGATTAATAAATATGTTGAGAACAATTGGACTGGGCACACTGTCTCACGGAACTGTCCAGCACTTGGGCCACTGGAAATGATTCCATGGTATGTACTGCACTCTGAGCGACTCAACTTCAAGAGTTCTAGTATGCACACATTTAATTCGCGTTAATGAGCACCAGTGGCTCGCTGGGCAAGCCGTAGGACTCAGCTTTCACGAAAGGCGGGGCAGAACTCGCAGCATAACAGCACCTTGCCATGCTTGTGGGAGGTTCATACTCCAGGTTACGGCGTCGCCAAAAGGGTAATCGGAAAGGTACCAGGACCAGCACAGCTCTACACTTCTTAGAACGATCCTTTCTGTAAGCAGTGTTCTCCACTGTATCAATCGACAAGGTGACCGCCATAAACCGAATCGTGCATCCACGTTTTACGTACCGCTAGAACCGTCGTGGGATGAGTCTCGAGAGTGAGTAAAGGTGCATCAGCTTATTCGGGACCAAGTGCCCATTTTGAGAATTACACTGAGAGTTGAAGCAACACAGAAGGCTCGCGTCTCGCAGCGTCACCTGTAGAATGACCGTTCGGAGCGTCGGGACACTGTGAAGGTAACACCATTCACATCGAAGAGCTCACCACTGAAAGGGGGTTACCGAGTTTTTAAGAGCCACTAATCGTAGTAATCGCATTCCAAAGACGCCGGGTTGTCGTAGATTGTCTTTCACCAGCTAGGTCATGTAGGGCTGAGGCCAAGGCTGGGGGATCCGACGCCGGAAACGTGCAGGAACCAAGCAGACGACGTGAGGCTCGCGGAGTCCGAGCCACGATCCGAGAAGCCCTAGTTGCAGCCTTGCCTCCGAGAAGACTGGATATTCTTTCCGGCGGGCACACAATACTTAGACAGCACGCCTGCGGCTGATGCGGATCGCAAGAGGTGGATAACAGGACGATCAGTGAACAGCCAATAGGTCCAGCACGGCACAGAGCACAAACAGAGACGATTGTCGCCGCCATGTTAAAATAAAACGAGGCTGAGCCAGGCCAAGCTTTAGTTTAGTACACGCATACTTTATTACAAATAAATATATAAATGTTGAAACAGTTTTTATTTATGTTTAAAATTTGTAATGTAAGTCGATTAAAGCAGGAACATTTACGTTGCGTCAAATGAGTTTCGTCGTAACACCTGTCGTCAAACCAGCGAACGTCGCCGCATCGCCATCGCCATCGTCACCAAAATCAAAAACAAACCAAGCTGCAAACTCTCGGGCCACCGTATTTCGGGCGGTTTCAGGCCTTTAGGCTTACGGAAAAACATCGAAGAACGTTCTTGAAGAAACAAAGTGTCCCAGGTGCCGGCGTGCCCATAGAGCCAGCTGTGGGTTTCAGTCTACTTGGTGAGTACTTTTCCAGCCCTTTCTTTTCGGAGCGTGTATGGCGTGTTCTTGTGTGTGCAGGCAGCGTGAAAGCGGACGTGTGCGGTTTCTTGTCGCACACATTCTTTGCGCATTGGATGACCCTCAAGCTTTTTCCAAGCAAGTACCGGAACCGACCTGTCACTGAGCGAGCAGTCAAATGGCGGGAACGGACCCAGAGGCAAGTTCCCACGGGGGCGTGGGGCGCCGAGCGAGGCGCTTGGTGAGTGATCGGGGAGCTTTATCTCTTAGATCGGTGTTCAAGGCTTGAGTCCTGCAAATCGGGTGGCGGCTTGGTTTTGGTACCACCTAGCTAGGCGGTGTGTTTTGCGGAACCCATGACTGCTGAAGGTACCAGTTTGCGTCCTAGCGCTCGTATTTGCACCCCGTTTGTTTCCACTGTGGGAGGTCGGATCCAAGTTCGATTTTCGTCCTGGGAAACTACTCGAAATATTGCGTGACCTGCGCCTTTGGAAGTACCGTCTGTATTGGTGACGTTGCTTGCGAAGAGTATAAGGAGTTATTTTTCGACTGTGGCACGGACTTTTTATACAAAGTGCTGTATATGTAGCGCTCATTTACTAACCCTCTGGCAATACTTTATTGTGAAGGTCGGGAGAAAAAAAACGCGCATTGAGTAGTGCCAAAGAAAACAGAAAAAAAAGGTGTTCCAAACAACTTGAGGAGACCATGAGCTGATTTTCAAGCTACTGCCTCCTCAGTTCATAAGCAAAGTAAGAAATCACGTGGTCTTATTTCACTGGAACCCAAAGTTTTCGCAGCAGTCTGAGAGTCGGCGAGAACAAAGCCTTTGATAAAATTCACGCTTTACATTTTTGCAAGCACCAACAGCCAAAAAGTATAAATTACGTGTAAGCGATTGAGCGAGCGAAGAGACAAGCAATGGCAACCATTTTGCTATCACTCAGTCAGTCTCGCGACAAGGTAATCGCTTGAAAGCGACGGGAGCAAGCAGTCAAGTAATTGAGCGACATTTTCTAAAAATCCAAAAACCGAGCTACAGTGACAAGTCTCAGTTGCTCGTCTCGTTGCTTGCTAAGCCGCTTACATGCGTTTCAGCCTTTATTGTGCGAATGCGAGAGAGACGTGCCATGAGTGAGTGCTGTGTTGCCAATCATTTCATTTAATTTATTTTCACCTTAAGGGCATGGTCAGGATTCGTGCAGTGTGCAACTCGTGCACTGGCACTTACGTGCCATTGTTATACAAATAAAGACAAACAAGAAAAGGAAGCTCATTATTCATACACAGTGGCAATAAAATACTTTTAACAAGAAAAATGAATCCGTAAGCTTGCTAGAAATACTTCTGGGATTACGATGGTGGATGGTAGGCTGTTCCAGTTGCAGATGGCTTGAGAAAGGAAAGACTGATTGAATGCGTTTGTGGAACTGGAAATACAAGATGATGTTCATTCCGGAGGTGGTGATAAAGAGTTCTTGAGGTCGGGGCAATGATAGTCGACTTTATGAAGGAGGCAGAGGCGAGATAGCTTTATGCCGAGCTGCAAAGAATTCACTTCTAAGTACCTCTCCTTTCAGGGCTATATTGCCATTTGCTTACAAGTGCTGCATGGGCCTCGTGCACTGGCACTTACACGCCAGTTCCAAAACTAACACAAACACATCAGGGGGTTTTAGGCGGGTTAGCCATCCTACAAAATGGTGCTGCTCAGTTAATTTATATCAAGTTCAAAATGAACAGCACTCTTCATTGATGGCTGATTCATACGACGAACTGATCCACACAAAGGAGCACACTCACAAACGACAGGCAGGACGTACCAAACATGTTCGCGGCCCCACACTGCTGAGAAGCTCTAACATTGTGCGATCACACTGTGACACAGTTGTCACAAATCGAAATCAACATTTTCTACTTTAAAAAAAGAACTCTGCGCCACTGTTACGTGCAGAGGGAGACTTAACACAATGATAGGCTTAGTGCGAAGCACCATTAGCTTTACTAAACAAAGTCATGATAAAAACACAAGCGTAGTCCTACTCGAGGAGACTTTGGCGTAGAAGCGACGAAGTCCTGGGCTCGCCACGGGGCATTTGGAGACGCCTTCACTCACTCCGTGCTTGCGCCTTCAATACACCACAGCCACAAGAAAGTAGGGGTGCCGCGAACTTTTGGCAAACCGGATTTTTAGGTCGAGCATTTGGGGTTCGACTGTGTCAAACCGGTTCGACAAACCTTCGAAACTTTTAACCAGATTTGACTTGTTCGACTTTGTGTACAGCGTGGCAAGACCATGATACAAGCATGTCTAGGTCTACAAAAATTGTGTTTCACTCAAAAGGTTATTTTAATTTTATAAACAGTTGCAAATAAAATAAACTAACTCTAACTACTGAACAAGTTAATAACTTACTTTTTGTACTGTATTAACTGGAATAACCAATAGGTGCTGCCCTTAATTCATCCCTTAGCCATCACCATCCAATCCGAAGCCAACTGGCCAGCATGTCGCGCGTGCGAACAGCAGTCGAACATTTTTCTAACTTTTCGCAAGAAGTTGGAAAAAGTCGAACCTGGTCAAACTCGAATGTCGGCTGGTTTGTGACACCCCTACAAGAAAGGTCTTGCTGGCTGAACGGTTCATTGGAGATGCAAAGCGCTTCCGTCGTTCTAGACACGATTTGACAGGAGCTTTTTGACGCAGATGAATACCAGAATCTGCACCGTGTCAGCCCGGCAAAGTTCCTCATACCAACTTTTTTGATACGAGAAATGGAATGAAAGAATGTTTTGTGGCAATAGTTGGGGTCATTTTGCTTTAAAAGTCTTACTTCCAATTTTCAGAAAGGCACAAGCATTGGAGACCAGCTGCCTCCACGATCATGCCCCCCTGCTTTCCTGGTAGTTGCTGTCGGTGAGTAACCTGAGCCATTGGCTTTTCTACCTTTCTAATAGAAATGAATGGTTCTTCTACACGTGCTAAAGTGAGAAGTATGCTACTGCTATGTTTTTCAGTTTTGTAACCCTTTATTTCCTCAGACCAAAAATTTTTCTTCAGCTTGGTTCAGATGCCCAATACATTCATGGAATATTGTGTCCAGAAATTTCAATTGTGCATTGTGTGTATGTGTGGGGGGGGGGGGGGAGTTTACTTCGCTGGTCCATTTGGTAGACAGGACGTTGTGAGAAAGAGAAGTGTAGATAAAATACAAGTGCAAGTTTTATTATGAAAACCTTTTATTACGGGACTGATGAAAAAATTAGAATATGAAACAATATGATGTCCTGTCTTCCTTTTTCTTGTTACTTTCTGTAACCTAGTCTTGTGACTTAGAATCATATACTACTCATCATCATCATCATCATTTATTTTCCTTGAGGGCCCGTGGGGCATTATACAAGGGGGTGGCAATAGAACAAAAACAAATAGAACAGTAAACACAATTATAACACTGTAAGCTAGCTAGGTCGGTTAGATAAAAAGAGGGTAATGGCTTCAACAAATTTAGTAGTATCATTAATACAAACGATGTTATGAGGTAGCGAATTCCAATCCTCGATGGCCAATGGTAGTGTGGAAGTCTGGTGAGAAACAGTTGATGATCGAATTGGACGTAATTTACATAGGTGATCTAGACGCGGGAAAATACGATGGGGAGGTGATAGCAGTGATTCTTTGAGGTGGCTATTGTGATAAAAAATTCGATGGAGGAGAGAAAGGCGTGATACTCGGCGGCGAAGGGAAAGTGAATGAAGGTTAGCTGATTGGCGTAATCCTGATATGCTGGTATATGGTGAGTAGTTGTTATAAATAAAACGAAGGGCTCTGTTTTGGACGGATTCTAGATTATTTGCAAGGTAGGACTGCCATGGGGACCATATAGATGAGGCGTATTCTAATTTCGATCTTATAAGAGTAGTATACGCTAGTCGTTTTACGGAGGGTGTAGCAAGTTTAAGGTTACGGCGCAAGTATCCGAGAGAACGGTTAGTATCAGAAATAACAGAAGTTATGTGAGTAGTCCATGATAGGTCAGAGGTGAGATGAACACCCAGGTACTTATAAGATGAGCATGCTATTACTTGAGTGTTAGAGAGGTAATACGAAAATGGTGTGGCACGCGAACTGCGGGAAATCGACAGGGATCTACATTTATTGAAGTTTAATGTCATCTGCCATTTTTCACACCAATGGATTACAGACTCTAGGTCTTCCTGGAGAGCATGATGATCATGGTTTGAAAGAATGGGTCGGTAAATGACACAATCGTCGGCGAACAGCCGCACAGAAGAAGCGATATTAAGGTGGAGATCATTAATATAGATTAGGAACAGAAGGGGGCCCAGTACGGTTCCCTGGGGGACACCTGACGTTACGGTAGAGGTGGGAGATTTTACGTTGTTAACGGAGGAATATTGCTTACGGTTAATTAGGAATTCAGAAATCCACTTAACAACAGAGGGATGAATATTAATATCGTTAAGCTTTGTTAAAAGACGTTGGTGGGGTACTTTATCAAATGCTTTGAAGAAGTCAATGAAAATGGCGTCGGTCTGAATATTCGAATCAAAGCTTGAGTAAATATCAGTAAGGAAGGCGGTTAGCTGGGTTTCACAAGAGTAAGATTTACGAAATCCGTGCTGATGTTTAAAAAGAAGGTTATGAGAGTCAAGAAAGTTTATTATATTTGAGTAAAGTATATGCTCCATGAGCTTAGATGGAACACTGGTGAGAGAGATGGGACGGTAATTACTTATTAGTTGGCGATCACCAGTTTTGTGAACAGGTATTACGTTAGCTATTTTCCAGTCACGTGGAATTATGGAAAGCGTGAGCGATTGTGAGAAAATGTCACAGAGAAAAACAGAGGAAATATGTTTAGTGTTTATTAATACCTTCGAATTAATTTGGTCATCTCCAGAGCTCGAGGAAACCTTTAGGTTTTCTATTGCTTTCAATACACCTGCGTGGTCAATTATGATAGGATTCATCTGGGGGTGAGTTAATGGGCATGAGTCGGGAACGTTTAGCAAGTCTTCTTTTGTAAAGATTGATGTGAAGAAATTGTTAAGGTAAAGAGCGCTATCTTCGTCTGAAAGTGGGATGCCGTTGTCGTTAATGAACTGCAATGGAAGAGACAGAGCTGGGTTGACCACTTTCCAGAACTTTTTGGGTTTATTTGTTAAAATGTTGGGGAGGTCGTGAGTATAAAACTTAATTTTGGCATCAGCAATGGCGGTTTTGTACGTTCTAGCACACGCATGATATGCATCCCACGAGGCTGCATTGTTGACAGATTTCGCTCGTTTATAAAGTCGCTTTTTCTTGTTAGCATGACTATGCACCGTTTTGTTATACCATGGGTGACAGTTATCTGATATGATGCGGGTCAATGGGATGAAGCGCTCAACTAAGTGGGATAGCTTATTTTTATAGAGCGTCCAATTTTCATTGACGGTTCTTTCCTCGAGATTAACAGAGAATGATTGGTAAAAGTCTTCGAGGCATGCGTTGATAGACACATAGTCGGCCCTCGCGTAGTCGCGAATGTATTTGCAATAATGTGATTTTCGAGGAACAGCGAGAGAGAGTGTTATGTCGATGACAACATCGATGTCGATGACTACTACATAAGATTCAATGACATGGAAGGTACTGCAGCTCCTTAAAACCTTAAAAAACACATGCAAAGGAAAAAAAACATTGTTTTTTTTTTAAAACAGCCTTGATGGAAAAAGATTGCTTTAGAACAAATTTACAACGAAAAAATACAATTTTTAGAGCTATATTTATGGCGCAAAACGAATTTGTAGTTGGCGCCCGTGAGAGCCGTCGCTGGTCACGTGTTAGACCTGTGCACCGCCGCGCTGTGTCGCCGAAGCCACGGAGACCCGCTGCCGCCGCATGCTGAGCACTGTGCGCTGCCGCTCCAATGCATTTCTCCACGGCGGCGCCGCCGTCGTCGTGCAAGTTTGTGTGCTCTGGGGTGCCGCCGCAGTCATCTTACCGGTGTACAGGTTTATCACGTCTGCTTGCGCTTTTTCAGGAGCTTCCTTTGGGCTCTAAAAGTAACTTATTAATCTTTGTTTTTTGTTGCACTTCAAACGAAGATGAATAAGTAACTTTTCGAGACCATACGAAGCATCCGAAAGAGTGCAAGTACCGTAGAATACTGTGCATCCGCCCACACCACACTAAGCGCCCATTCCCAAATTTGTAGAATCTGAGAAAATACACAAAGTACATTTATATGTAAAATTGATGAGCGAAGAAGGGCGCATCCCCGATTTTTTCACGATTATCTCCAAAGTTTGAGTGGGCGCTTGCTCGGTATTTTACGGTACCATGTGACAAATAGCGGCCAATCACGTGATAAATAAGGGCCACTTCTCCGCGGTGCCCGCGGGCGCCAACTACAAATTCGTTTAGCGCCGTAAATATAGCTCTAAAAATTTTTCTTTTTCGTTGTAAATTTGTTTTATGACTTCCTTTTCCTAATCCGGCTGTTTAAAAAAAAAGTTTGCTTTCTTTGCATGTGTCCTTTAACTGTTTTAAGCAAGCCTAGTTTTCCACCTAGAGCCGTTCCCTAGGCATTTAGGAGGAATGTAGCACGTCCACGCATTCTACCTTGCCCCTTGGCTGTTTTGGACGTCCCAGGCCCGCTCCGAGCTTATTTTGCGGTGCTGCTGAGAGATGGCAGCACGCATATTTTTATTGTACACGTTTTTAAGGATGGCGACCGATTGTGGAGTCATGTGCGGCCCAAGCCGCACAAGCTTTATAGCGAGTTCGTTTCACACGCACTGGCACCGTTCGAGTTCTCTCCCAGAATGCATCGCACTCACAGAGTGTTGCACGGAAAACTGGACTCAAACGAACTCGCCAAATGCACCGAGTGCAGAAGACTGATGTTGCCGCCATCTATGTTGTAGAAAAGGTACCGACTTCAAACCGAAACTAGCGCCTTTCTGTTCGGAGTGATGCGTGGGAATGCGAGAATGCAGTCGGCTACCAACGTTTATCTACAAACGTTGGTCGCTGCAACCTGTAGTTTATAGTTGCGATGACTTCAAGCAGCTCGGCTGCCGTAGAGATAGTTACAGACGGCGTAAATTTCCGCACCCAGTTGTATACAAAGCAGCTGGTTACGATCTTTCAATTAAACCGTTTACACTGAAGAAAACTGATGATGCTGTCCGAGCAGAAGCTTGATCCGCTTGAGCATGGTATTATACGTGAACCACTGAAAGGGTACGGCTTAAAACTAGCCTGTTGGAATATCCAGCAAAACTGGGACTTTCGATTTGGATCGTCATTATAGGTGGATCAGAAATTAGCCTTGGTGAGGGCGTCACTTTCTCGAACAAAATACGACGGGGCAAGTTAGCTGACGTAGGTAAATGTTAAACATGATGATGTTGCCCAATCCTCGGGTAAAGTTACCATCTTTAGCTTTCTCTGATGCTTATTGGGCAGTCAGAGGTTTCTGCTGGGGGAGTTTTGCCGACAAATGTTAAATTTTCCACCCGCACACGGATGATGATAGACATCTCGGGGGCCGCTGTTACATTTGTTCTGAGCATTTCTTTACACACTGGTATATTTCAGCGTTTGTACGGCAACAGAGCGATTTAAAACCTGCAAATAAATCACGGGTTGTCAATTACTTCCTTCGGGAAATAGCAGAAGCTCACAATTCAAGCTCGCGTTTGATTTCGTGGCCCGCGGGACGCGATTTCTATCAGAAAATCTACTTTTTTTTCCGTTCGGTTCCGCGACACATCGTAGCAGACGAACCCTCGTCGTCTGCTCCCGCTCCTCGCCGGCTCCGCCGGAGCGAGGCATGACGGGATTGCATTTTGGCGCACTCCCGATTTTCTCGGTGCAGCGAGTGCATGCACGCGTGGGGTATCAGCGCTGAAACGAACTCGGAGAGTGCAACCACTCGTGGAGTGCCGGCCGAAACGAACCCGTTCCACGCTGCGAGTGGGCACGCGTGACCACGAGTGCCGTGAAACGAACTCGCTATTAGAAAAGGGAAAAAAAAAAAAAATTTAGGATGAAAAACTGTAAAACAAAAACCGGTTAAGTGGTTAAGGTGAATATTGTGCGACATCATTATGCAGTTTCCTTGTTTCTTCGAGAATATCTAATTGGATACGAAACACATTTTCATGACGTGCAGGCAACGTCAAGAAAAATGTTAAAGGAGCTGTGCAACAATTTCAGGGCTTTGCTTAAATAATTGTGGAAGTTGATGCCTGACACTTCTGCAGTGAACTACAGAAAACAGATTTTGCCTGGATACCCTAGTTTTTATTTAAAACAATGAAAAAGATCAAAGTTTTTGCCGCCTCTCAACTCGTACATCGTCTTCCGGGTCACGTGCGCAGTGACGTCACTTGAGTAGGCGCGGGGTTCCGGAAAAGTTCTCTCTTTAGAGCCATCAGCGAGCAGCGAGAACTCATCCGCTCGCGGCCGCGTGACCACGTGCTGGCGGGCGCCCCGCGAAATATACGGTGAAAGGAGGAAAGTCGCATCTGGGTCCGGCCATACCCGTCCTTGCCCGTCCGGCGCCGTCCTCTTCCCCCACCGGCTTCTGGCGGCTATTCGCGGTTTTGTGGACCTAGGATAGATGGCGCCACTAAAACTCAGTATAATAAAAGTTTTGTCGATGATACCAGGGTTTTGAAGCATTTATATATATGTTGGAACGACAAGATTTATGGAAAAGTTAACTTTTATCGAGCAGGTATTCGCAAAACTTGCTATCTTTTTTACAACTACCCAAGTGACGTCACGCCGCTTGTTCCTCATGGCCGCCGCTCGTGGCTGCAGGTCGGGAAATATTCTAAGTTTTGCCTCGCTATTACGCGGCGGAATCGCAACATTTCGATGAAAGGAGGTGTGTTTTCTGCCATTTGTGACACAGTGAACAATATCAAAAGCAGGAAATGCCAATTCTTTCAACGTGAAAATCGTTGCACAACTCCTTTAAGTGATTGCAGACTCCGCAGTCCATCTATGGCTGATTTACACGACGTGCTAATCCGCGGATGAGTTTATCAAGTGACAAGACGTCCATGGAACGTTAGTCCCCCAAGCGCATCCACACTAAAGAGACGAGCAGGCGACAGCGAGGACATACTATACCTATTCGCAGCCTTGCAATTTTGCGAAACGCCTACATCGCAGTGTGGCACTGTTTTCCAAGAGCAGAAGTGATGTTTGCGACTAGGATCACGGTGCTATCATGAAAAGGAATCGTTGTGTGCCGCTGTTACATACCAAGTGGGCTAAAACATAGTGGCAGGCTTAGAGCGAAGTGTCACTTACTTTACTAACGACATGACACAAGTATGATCCTGCTTCAGGAGGCTTCAGCGTCATAGCGATGAAGTCCTGGGGTCGCGGAGAGGCATTTGGAAATACCTTTACACACTGCTCGCTCGTGCACCACTCTTCAGCACAAGCCATAAGAAAGGTCTTGCTGGATGGAAAACTGGGTGGATCTGCAGGAAAGATTGCAGCATGCTAGGCGAGTTTTGACAAGCTTTTTGACACCAACCCGGAGGAGTACCAGGACCTGTGGCGTGTCAGCTGGGCAAAGTTCTTGCAGCTTCTTTCACGCGTGGAGATTTAAGAGTGGCGCGACAAAGCAATGATCCACTCTCTTTGTTTGACTGATTTGAAAACAAAAATATTCGTGAGCTGTTGCTACTCTACCATAAAAACGCTTTTCGAGAAACTCACTTGCCAAAAATCTGCGATTAAGAAGGCACTCTGCCCTTTCAGTATGAGTGTCCGCGGACGAGGGACAAATCTCAGGAATAGCCTACATGATGGTAACTTGACAAATGGTGCACGGATGAAAATTGCAATTCGATGTATCATGTGAATTTGCCATTATTTGGCAATTATCCTAATATGATCAGTTGATCCTAATTAAGAAAGAACAATTGTTCTCTGAAACAATGTAATGAAAGGAGGTTTTTATAAATAATGCCTGCTCATAATGGAAAAGGCTTGGTGGATCAGAGACTTTCCATAGATCAGATATTACGAATTGCAGGCGTATGCTTAATTGAGAGAAGAGTAAAAGTACAGGCAAGGGTGGTGAATTGCATACATAACTAAACCTGAGACACCGGAAGAAGGACGCGAAAAAGAGAACATCAAACACAACACGTCTCAACCACAGCTGCATTTTTTTTTTACTTCTTAGTCGGTGGGTTGACTTTGGCCAGTGTGGGAACGTTGAGGGCAGTTCTTTTTTCCCCCTTGCTGACAATCTGGGGGTGTGACTTAGTGTGAGGGTTCTTGGCATTGACTGCGGTTTACCCCTATAAAATGGTGTGGTTTTAGAATTAACCTGCAGCTGTGTTCGAGACATTATGTGTGTCGTCCTCTTTTTTGTGTCCTCCTTTTTCCTTCTTCCGGTGTCTCAGATTTAGTTATATATGCTTAATCCATGCTCAAAGTGAAGACATGAGCTTGTGCTGGCATTGCCAACCTTGTGTGCATGGTCTATGAAAAGTGCTTAATGACTGTGGTTAAGAGAGAGGAGTTTCTGCTTTCAAGAACAGCATGGGGTGAATGGAAAAGTGTTCTCACAAACAATGAATTCTCCGGGTTACCCACTCAGTCTAACCGAAGGCTGTAGGATAAGCATTTTGAATTCTTTAGGATTTGCCAAGGGATAAAAAAAAAAATGCACAGAAAAGTAGGGGGAGGAGAATGGCACAAACATTTTGGGGCTTGTGTTCTTACATTTGAATTTTTTGTGCAGGAAGCATTAAGGCCCGTTCACACTCTTGCAACTGAGTACGACCATGAGAGACGAGACCGGTTTTCAAGCCACTTGCAATCTCTTAGGACCAGCTGCGTTCTGGCGCATCCCGTCCTAAGAACTCGCAAAAGGCTTAAAAACCGGTCTGGTCTCTCTCAATCTTACTCGGTCACAAGAGTGTGAACGGCACTTTACTGAAGCAGCACTTCAGTCACGGGGGCAATAAGTCATTGCTAGTCAATACCTGATTCCACTGATGCATATCAGGCAAACACCTCTTAAAGGGCCCCTGGAAAAAAAAAAGTTTTTTGAACAGTCTGATAAGGACACTCGTGCCAAAAAATAAATTTTATGCGAAAATAATTAATTTTTTAGAGCAATATTGACGGCAAGAGATTTATTTTAAATTCTGCGCGCAAAGTCCATGACGTCCCGGAATGGTCATTCGCTCTCGCCACCTCAACACGAAGGCGAAGCTGATCTCCCTCTCCTCTACTCGCTCAAAGTGCCCAGAGGAAACAGGTGGAAGGGAGGTGACTACCGACTAAATTGCGTCTCGCGCCGTCAATATTGCTCTGACTAATTTTTTTTTCACGTAAAATTAATTATTTGACACGTGTGTCCCGACAAGTCTGTTTAAAAAAAAACATTTGTTTTTCTTTTCAGGGGCCCTTTACTGAAACAACTTTGCTCTCATTGTTCTAATTTAACACTATTGTGGGAAATGACTTTCAGGAAGCATGAACTGCAAAATTCGCTCGTGAAAAGGATTGGTAATTTTTAACAAGATGCTTTGTCTCTTCCAGTTGTACCAAAAAGTGCATAAGGGGTGGACGTTACTTAACCATCATTTCGATCCTGGGGACATGGAGTCATTGCTAACCAGGGCCGGTCACTGCTAGCCAAAACAAGACTTCATAGGTGCATATCAGGTTAGTACTTTTTTCTGGTATTTATTTTTTTATTTTAACGAGACAACCTTGATATGCAGAACAGTAATTCTTTCAGAATATACATAGTTTCTAATTTCCAGAGAATTGAGCTCATCTTTCTGAAGTTCCGAATCAAAAGCACAGGCTGTAACCTATTTTTGCCAAACATCATGCAGTTTTGTTGGTTTGCTTTTCATAATGAACGATTCAACTCCGCTGGTGCAAGGGCATCGATAGATTTCTGGAACCATTAAACACAGATGGAGCACCTTATCTGGCGTGTGGCTTGTTAAAGGGATACTGAACCGAAATTTGAATTTCGCGAAATAAGGCTCTAGAGGCGTTGAACAGGACTCTACGAACTCCAAAACATTACTCGTACATCAATGTCTCAAACAGATCGCTGCACTTTTGGAAAAGAAGGGCACGATCAAGCGAGGTCTTTGACATCACTGTCCTCCGGGAGAATTTGAGAATGAGGGGAAGCGGCCTCGCTTCTCTCCTCCTCGCTTCGGTTCACCAGCTTGACACGGGACGTAGCGAGGAGGAGACGGAATGAGAATCGTGACGTGCCTTGTCTCGTCGGCCTACTCGGCCGGGCACTTCTTTTCTAAAAATATGGCGATCCGTTAGAGATATCGCTGTATGAGTGATGTTCTTGGGTTTTGCAACGTCCCGCCTATCTGTCCAGCCTTGTTTTGCGAGTTCGAAATTTCAGTTCAGTATCCCTTTAACCTCGAGGTGTATGTCCTATGCCTTCTTCCAGGTGCTGGGCATGTTGAGTTTGCGATCCTTTACCCTTACTCCGAGTGCAGCAACTGTACTCTGTGTTTCACGATAACTTGACGAGCTGTGGAGGCTGCGGCCTTCCCGACCCAATAAGAGCGTCGAAGCAAGGCACGTGACAGCAACCCCATGGTTGAGGTCGCTGTCGAATCGCTTGGTTGAGATTGCTGTTGAATCGTTTTTACGAATCGGCTACAATTGCTGAAAAAGTAGGTCCCGTAAACAATTCCGGTAAAGTGTAAACACATTGGAATCTATATAGAGATCCCACTGCATCGCGAAAATTAGAACCCGCGAATTATTTCAAAACTTCAGCTTCGACCTTAATTGCGAAATATGGAGCCCGCGAAAAATAAGTCTGCAGTAAGCACAAATAAAGTTATTTCCTTATGAATTCCAGGATTTGAGTGTTTCTGGCTTACATTTGTCTAGTCTAAACTAAAATTTTGTGCTTAATGGACTGCAGGGATGACTCACTTAACTAAACGTTCCTGTCCATGCATAGAATAATTTATTAATTATACTATACTAAGATTATGTGGCTACACTTCCATTAAAGGTGTAGGGAAACGAAATTTCAGCGCTCATTTCCTAGCTTTAATGTGTTGCCAGTCTTCCGTTGGAAAGCAAGATTATGTGGCTACACTTCCATTAAAGGTGTAGGGAAACGAAATTTCAGCGCTCATTTCCTAGCTTTAATGTGTTGCCAGTCTTCCGTTGGAAAGCACAAGAAAACTAATTTTAGAGCTAAATAAACGACTTTCAACGTGCACCTGGTGGATGCATTCTGTTATGATCGGCCACCCAGAGAGCAGGTTCGGCTTCCTGGCAGCGCCATCGACCTCCCATCGACTGACCAGAGTCTCGGGCTCGGCATTCTGGCACCGCCGAACATGCTGACCGACGCGGCGTGGGTGGGGTGCAGCTTCCGAGCGACGCCGAGCGGGCCACCCGGCACAGCGGGAGCTGACCCCCCTGACACCCCGCTGAGAAACAGAGGCCCGCTTCCTCAGCCTTCGGACCGGGTGCTAACGAACAGAGACAAGTGGAGACGTTTGGGTCTCGGCGTACGATCGGGACAGCTGCCTGTTCCTGCGTTCTTCTGGGAAACGGGACGAGAGGGATGCTTGGACCGGGGTGTGACCACGTGGGAGGTCTGCGTCCCGGGAGACTGCAGAGATGTCCCGTGGTGACGAAAGTTGTATGCTATGTAAGTTGACGAAAGTTGTATGTTATGTATTTTCCGTCATGCGGTGATGTATTGCCTTGATAAATGTTTGTGATTGTTTTCAAAATGTGAAAGTTGCAGAAGGTAGATGATTTTAAATATTAGGTCAGTCATAAAATTTAAGTCAATAGACCCTTTTCCAACGTCAGTGCGAACGCCTGTCCGCCATTGCTTGCTCTCATACTCTGAGCATACAGTAAAACCTCGTTATAACAAAGTTGAAGGAGCAATCGTAAATATTTCGTTATAACCATTAGTTTGTTATAGCCAATGTCCATATCTTCCCTATTAGCAAGCAAGGGGAATTACGATTGCTTTGTTATATCCATTAGTTTGTTATATCCCATTTTGTTATAACGAGGTTTTACTGTATACTGAAAGCGAGCCCTGCGTCAGCGTTCAGCGAGAACTCGGATCCAGTCACGCACTTCGTGAGCAAGCAGTACTGACAGCCATTGTTGCTTGAAAGACTTTTGAAAAGGGTATACTGACTAGATAGATATTGTACAAACTATTTTACGAGAACATGTAATGTGACTGTCGGTCTTGTTTACATTACTTTCAGATGCCCGTCGGAGGTGCGTCAGCCTGTGACCAACTGGGAAAGCAGATGCAGCTCGCCTCAAAGAATTGCCTCATTAGCATGCACGAGCTACTTCAAAGTCTGAGACTGGAGGACAAATAAACGAGCCTGCGGGTGGAATGCATGTTCACAATTTCTCGAAGTTCGAGCATTTCTCTGTGCATGCACTTTCTGCTATCTTGCATAGGCTTTAAAAGGAAAGTGTTTCCGTGCTGAACTTCATGTTTCACTGATGAGTGAACCATGTGGTTAATACGATCGATATACACCAATACGCGGCTCTGACGTCACGTTGCTACGGTGGCGCTGCTACTGTTAGGGCGCATGTGCAGACGCTTTACGTCACGTGAATGTCGTTCTTGTGCACATGCAGTGCTTGCACCTCGTGTAGAAACTGAATTTGTTCACACCTCGTGAAAGCTTGTTGGTAAATAGTGCGTTGGCCTATAGATCATATCAACGATTTAAACTGCATGAACAATATCATCCATAACAACCATAGGCCATACAAACCATATGGACCATACAAACCGTACCAACCCGTATCAACCATATGACCCATACCAACCATATGACCCGTACCAACCGTATGAACCATATGACCCATACGAACCATATGACCCGTACCAACCATATGACCCGTACCAACCGTATGACCCGTATCCCATAACGCTATATGAAGACCCGTATGGAAAATTCATATGGTTTTTTTCAGTAGGGTATACAAGTTAAAATTACATATATATGAAGTAATCTAAAAAACAGTGTTGTTTCTTTCGTTTTTAAGCTGTTTTATTGACTGTATATATGATCGAAAATAACACAATAAATATTCATTGACATTTTTGCTTTATTCTTCAGACAAGTAAATTTTCTAAACCTCTGGCTGGTAGAGAGTGCTTGCGTAGTCACAACGTTACTAGCAGAATGACCATTAATGGATGTCAGAAAAACCTTCCCACCCTGGTTTATTCTTCTTACACTAAGGAGAATATTCCAAAATATGACAGAAGGCAAAAAATAACAACGTAAGGTTTTTCTATGGTCGCACATAGTTCCAGTGGCGTCACGAGGGTCAGCGGCACCCAGGGCGGTAGCCCGCCGCGACACCACCCTGAGCGCTGCTGCACCCAGGGCGCCCCCCCCCCCCCCCCCCCCTTTCTATCCAGTCAAGGGCTGCAAGCCCTTGACTGGATAGAAGTGCCGAAGGACAGGGACAAAGTGAAGGAGGTAACGACAACACGGGTTTGTGAAAGAAACAAGATGGAAAAGTTCAAAGGGTTTCATCAACTGAAAAAATAGCGACATCGAAAAGCCATGCATCAGACGCACTGCAAAGGTCACCACAACTGGCGAGAACTGAAGTCTGCTCAGGTCACGAACTTGACTGCAGGAAGTTATTTTCGAAATTCACGAAAATCAGAGTCAAAGAAACGGCTGCTTCTTTCGACTTAATAACAAATATGATTGTTTTTTTATATTTTATTGACTAATAAAAGGTCATTTGCTTTCGCGCAACATCTCTTTTTATAACTGTTGTTTTTTTCTTCCTGCTTCACGAATATTTTAAGCTCACACAACTTTCCTACATAAACTGTCGTATCGTTCCGCCGCATTCGCACAACACAACCCTGCTGGTTCAAGGGAAGATCTAATCCGGTAAGAGTTTTTTTTACCTAAAAGGTACCGAGATATTTTGAACTCTGAATTTCTCGAACCACGAGAATCTCAAGTTCTGGTTGAAATCTATGGAGCACAGCAGATAAGAATGTTAGATCGCCACCTGTCAGTTGCGCTGTGGCTCCGAATGCATGAACGTTTCTTTATGTCTGTATACTTTGTTTCACACTAAGTTATAGCGTAGCCCACGCTAAGACCCTATGGAGCCAATCACTAAGCGATAAAAAGTGCATCGTTACGAAGCTTGTCGCCTTTATGCGTTTGCTGCCCCAGGCTAGACAAATTACGTGCAGAGAATGCGCCGCAATCCTGGGGTTTCTTTTTGTGAGCGATTGGTTTGATTAGTTATAGCACATGCATCAAGGCGACGAGCGCCATGACGATGCATATTTTGCGCCGGATTTTAGCGTTGGTTGTACTCGGACTTAATGCGAAACGGAGGGTACTAGGATAATGCGGTGCTCAAATTCGTTCGATTCTTTTGCAGAAATTGTGGTGACGTCAGAACGGCGAGCTCTAATTAGCTCTGATGAAAAGATAGTGTGTAGACCTCAAAGCAAGGTTCCTTCCGGCCTCCCCACTATCCTTCAATCAAAACCAATCAAAGCTCGGCGTTCTGATGTCACCACAACACCTGCAAAAGAAGCAGACGAACTTGCGCTCTGTATTGCATTGATCAAATGTGCATGTGCAGCTTGCGTAACCGAGAAGAGATAGTCATCCATGGTTACTGGGGTCGCGGTTTTTAAATTACTACTTAGTTATATAAATATTAAATGCAGGCGCATAAATGTGTTAGCGGTATTCTTGTGAAAAGATAATCCAGATGATACTAATTTTTATTTTTGTGACATTTGCATCTATATGTAGGCTTGGCAATGCTGTTGCCGATCCGGAAACATGACTTGCAATGTACTTAATCAAAAATAAAACATGCGCACCTGAAGAAAGAAAGTTTGAATCGGCCAAACAGTGAGAGCTGTCATTGGGTTGATGTGCGTGAACCATTGAAACTAGAGAAGTCAGTTTACATTATGGCTGTACAGTGGTATTTAATGCCCTTGATGCATATAGTCATTAAGGTGTAGCCAATGGTTTGTTTCACAATCCTTAGACCTATCATACTAAAAATATATACACCCCTTCGACCCATCTCACTGCATATTATAGGAAGCACCATATCACATAGAATACGTAATTTTTAACAAAAAACGCACAGGTTAATTCGATGTTTGGCCCATGTTTGTTTCTTATACTTTTCTCGTCAGGTGACCAATAAGGGGGATTCTTTTCTTTCACTTGTCTTTGTTGATTTTCAAATTTCCGATATACAAGTTAGATAAATGAAGCACGCAGTGCGAATGATTTTTAATGTGTTTTATGTGTGCAATACGGGTGGCATATGGTAAGGAATGCTGTCCTGAACACCTTAAAATAAAAAGAAAAATAAAGTACTGAGTTTTCAAATTTTTCTTTGGGTTCTTATAAGGCATTTTGTGGTATGGGCTCTGGGTCTATGTCTCTTTTCCGGTAGCGCATATTTTTATACGCACATACTTAATTCAATCAAAATAGAGTAAACGTTTTCTGCGCATTTAGTTTTATCCGATTTCTGACGGCTGGCACAATTTATATATTCATTTATGATTAATTTCAAAACACTAGTATTTCTTACAAGGAATATAATAGAACTGGCATACAAAAGCACTCTTACAAGAGTGGGGTCACACTTTGGCAGGATCTTGAACACAAATACTAAACAAACACATCTGTCAAAATCACGCTGGGAATATCACATTTTAAAATAATGCTGTGTGTACAAAATAGGGAACATAAATATAAGTTCCAGCAAAGCAGCAACAGTGATAGCGCCAACTTTTATCAAGTTATACAAATGATGAGAGTTGGTCTAGAGATGAAGAAACGTTCTCACAATCAACCAGGTAAAGTGTTCCAGTTGAACGCTACTCGTGAAAAGAAAAAAATATTTGTAAGTGTCCACTCCATAGTGGCGTTAAATGATCGTTTTTGAGTGTGTAAATCTAGTGTTAGTTCTGGTTGAAATCCAGAACTCTTTAATGGTCGAAAACAAGAACTAGCGAACTAAAATCAGATACAACACTGCCTTTCAATGAGATACATTACTAACTGTGATAACTTGCAGAATAATTTTTTTCTTCTTTCCAGCGGAAATGAGGTCAATCGTTCTATGGGCTCTGATCGCCTTGGGAGGTGTGCCACTTCTCATAGGAGCCGCTAACCAACGCCACCATTATGAAGTTTCATTTGATAACGGTAGTACACATTTTCATTTCTCTTTCAACTGATCTTCGGACGATTTAATGGGTGTAACTGTTAGTTATCCATGACATATTTAAATTGTTATAGTTCCTTATTTAATTAATAGTTGAAATACTAATGAATTAAATTATTTATTACAGTACTTTCAGGGCCAAAATGCATTTTCTGTAATGAATGAGACGAAAATCTGTAGTAGGAATACGAAAAATATTAGCAAAATCTATAAACCAAATAAAATAATTAAAACAACAAATAAATCCCTTGTAAGCTTTTAAAATTTGTAGACTACTTTGATGGGTGTCATTCTCTATATTATTCAGTGCTTAGAACACTGGTGGCACAATCATATAAAAACAGGCGCACCCTTTGCACTTACCATTCTTGCCCTCTTTTTCTTTTTATAAATTCCCTTCCTGATTTAAACCAAGACCAAAACAAAAATAAAACCAAAACAAATCTTCTATACCTTTTCTCTAAAAGGTTTGCTTTCATCCTTCCAGTATGTAAATAGAGCTCGCCCAAGTCATATTCGTTTTTTCATGATGTATTTTGCTCTTATTTGGCACAATATGTTATGTCCTGAAAAAGATTGCTTTTGTGTTAGCCTTAAACCACGTGCAATTGGGAAGAAATAAAGGTACCTTTTGTGAACAATGCGAAATATTCGTTTCTCTATTGAGTTAAGTCATCAATCAATTCGAGTGAGGATGGGAAGTTAAATATAAAATAACGAACTGTGGGTGTTTTATCAGTGAGCTTGTCACTTCGCCAGAAACCAATTTTGATACATGCACACATTCAGAAAAGGTAAAAAAATCAAAAGACGTATTTAAAATATTTAGAAATTATAAAACCACGTTTCTCAATCACAGCTTATCAATTCTAACAGCTTAGGGTTTAAGCGTAGTGTTATTTTTGCCTTATTTTTTTATTTTATCTGAAAATGGTTGCAGGTAATCTAACCACATGTTGCAGATAATTTTGCACTGTTCACCTCATTGGTTTGCTCTGCCATTGCTACTTGCCCTTTGACAGATACGGATACTCTGCACGAGAGCAACCCAAATATGATTTCCCTCCCAGTACTATACTGGGAGCTTGGAAGCGTCATAGGACCTTTTGTGAGGACATTGAGCTTTTTCAGAATCGAAGTTTTTTTGGCAAAACTTTGGCGGCCAGGTACATCGAAGCTTCAAAGAGGCATCTTTGCACTTCTTCCTGCAAGCTTCCACTATGGTCAAACTTCGTCTGAACTTCACATGACTATGCCTATGTCACATATCGGCAACAGTTTAGGAACGATTGCTCTGCCAGCCTGGGGTAACTCCCGAAATAACAGTTCTTTGGGCCAAAATTTGACATTTGTCTGAGAATTCCTTACCTTAAAGGTGTTAGGACACAAAACTTAAACGGGTCGATCATTCTTGAAATTGAATGCTTATCGGCTACTTAATATATACTGTAAGTGTCGTCATAATTCATATAAATAATAAATTTACCTGTGGGTATCATTTTTATATGGTCACCAGGCAACAGTCTGTAGTCACACCATCGTGCCCATAAACCAAGCGATCATGAAGTGTAGATGTACGCTCTCTTACACTAGGCGCTCCCATACTCGGCCAAGCTCGCCCCGCCTTCATGGTATACGATTCAGTGTTGTACGAAACGGGGATCCAAAGAACTGAGCTCCTGGAACGCGTTCCATTTAGGAGGAACGAGGGAACGCAGCCGTTCAATTTTGTATCGGTGGAACTGGAACGGGAACTCGTTACATGTTTTACTGGAACAGAAAAAGTAACGGCGTTTTTTTTTCTTTTAGTGGGGTAACTTTTTTTATTTCAAGCAGGGAAATTCTATAAATATAAAAACAATATCTTTATGAAGAGGAGGATATCTTTAAAGTTTTGGTTACTTAACTTTGGGTTTATTTTGTGTGGTCCTCGCTTGGTAACAGTCGGGTGCAGGAGAGCTAGTGGACATTGTTTTTTTTTTTTCAGTGCCCTAGGCCTGCGGTACAAAAGGCTAAACTTTTAGTCAAAGGAAAAGACACAGAAAGAAGGATGTTTCAAACTCAGCTACTTTCTTTGCTTCCCCGAATCCTCATAGACCCAGAAATATAAGGCCGACTACAACCATCACTGAGCTTCCGCAAAGAGACCTAGCGTTACAACAAAAGGACCGGTTACCAGACATCGAACTCGCCCTTGAATCCAGAACATTAGTCACTTAAAATATAAACAAAAGTGAACCTTTATTTTTTTTCCCCTTGTCCCCCACCTTCAAACTGAACAGCGAATCCAACCTTCACGAAGAAAGACTTGTAGTTTCCAAGACTGACCTTCCAAACGCCCTACCCTCTTCTTCACTTGCTCATATTGTGGACAGCAACATCAAGCAGCAACTGTTGTTAATTTCGAACACGGCACTTTGATAGACTGAAGCGTGTGAGGTTGTTTTAAAACGCTTGTGGGGCAATGTGGGGTAACAGAACATTTGGCTCGTCTGAATCGGCCACCACAAACAGGAATATGGTTAAAAACTGCGATTTTTAAACGTGAATATGTCAACAAATAAAACTCCACTTCCGCTTGTTTTCTTCTCCTGGTGCCCTTCCATCACGGCATTCAAATTCGTGTGTTGCCATCTGATGGAACAGATAAAAAAAAAAAAAAAGACTTTGCTCGATCTAATTAAATATGGTAATCAGCAAAATTAAAATGTAACGTATGTGTAACGATACGTTCCATTTTTTAACTGCAACGGGAACGAGTTCTTTTTTTAGATATGGAACTTGTAACGGGAAGGCGTTCCAAAAATTCGAAAGAACGAGGAACGATATTTCGTTCCTTCTTATTTTTTACTCGGCTACTTTAATGCTATTTTCGCTCTCGCCCCCTTGCCCTTTGACCCTACACCCGGCACGCATTTATAACAACCATCGCGGTAGCGATCAGTTTTGAAGGCTCCTACGAAGCGAGTAGTGTCGTGCAGGGCGGAATGTCAAAGCACGATTTAAACCGTAATTTATATCAGACCCCTTTATTTGCCGTTTGTTTATAATTGTATAATAATAATAGGTTTATTTTCCAACAAAAGTTACAGTGTTGGTGGGGGCTTTGGAAAAAAAGCAGTTGATAGAGCTTGACTAGTCCTAAGTCCCCTTAACTTCAGCAGCTACAAGCAGCGTGCATGGAAAAAAGGAAATACACTGAGAACACTAAACAAAAAAGAGGTTGAACAGTCGGCAATGAGATATATGAAACTAAAGAAAATAAGCATACACTATAGCAAAAGGTCACTTGCATACATCGTTGAAGGCACTATAACAAAAACATTCTGGCATACACTATTTGAGAGTAGACAAAAAAGGGCACTGCCCCACAACATTCAAGAAAAAAACAGAACATCAGTCTACGTTAATTAATTGTGCAATATACAAATTACAAGCATATTCGCCTTTACAAGATATACGCAGAAAATACACACAAAGGCACCGTTCAATCGTGGCCGATTTGCCCAGAGAGTATCATGTCCCGCAAGGTACCTACCGATAGCGTGTCAAGTTCTATGTTGTGCATATGAAGGTAGTTAGGGACGGTCAGTAATGTGTAAAATGTGGTATAATGGCCGTAATTTGTTCTAAAAAGAGGCACTTGCCAGGGTTTCAGAATGCTCGTTTGGTGACGAGTGTACTTTTTGTTTCAAATTCGCCAGATGTTCAAGATGATGTTCATGCATTTTTTTTAATCATGTTTTGCGCAAAGGCGTTATCTATACACATCAAACATTTTAATTACACCAAGTAGAGTAAAAAGTGAATCCATTGGATATTTGAGTGGAACATTGCAAATTCTTCTTAATATTTTCTCTTTTTTGCAAAATGAATATTTCTTTTTACAGTTAGTAAAAGTAGTTGTGCCCCATACTAGATGACCATAGTTTATATGAGAATAAAATAATAAAATATATATTAACAACTTCACCTTAAGTGGAAATATGTGTTTATTACGGTATATTAAGCCAACAATCCTGGACAATTTGGATATAATGTAGTTAACGGGATCATCCCATGACATTGTCTCTGAGGAAAAAATACCGAATGTTTTAAAAGAACAGACTAATTCAATTCTAGAAGAGTTTAAACAAACAGTCTAGTTTACGTCAACTTGATTTGATCTATGTGCATTTGTTTTCAACTCAAGTTAGAGAATTATTAGCACGAAATATTTATACCAGGCAGAACCAGGGCAGTAAGCTGTGCTCTTCTGAGAAAATCGGAGCATTGATTTTTGCTGCTACCTTCCACTTTCGTCGTCAGCTACCAAACATCCTATTGCACGAAATCAAATCAGAACGGGAAAAAAGGAAACGAAGTATCAAAAAGTAGTCTTACTGCAAAAAAAAATCAAGATTTTTAGATAACTAAAAAATCAGGCCGTTTTTTTTTCTAGGTATGGCGAATATTAGACAAACAAAAAGTAAAAAAAAAAACTCTACTTAATATTTACTGTTATTATTTCTTGCGCGTTGTTAATTATCAGATATCAGATGGATTCTTCAATGAATCTGCCATTTTAAAATGTGGTGAAGAGTCAATATTATTTAGGTACTGTAATTTAAATCAAACTATTCCGAATTAAATAAGATAGATCTGATTAAAATCAAAATCATATGATTTTATATAAAATAAAAATGATTTTTTTTCCTGCGATTCTGCGATTGCGTGAAATGCATGTTTTGCGTTGGGCTAGTGACGTCACCGACCAGCATATCGTGGCGGCCTTTACCAATAGAGTAAATGCAAAAATCCCGCAAAAAAAAACGATTTATATAGAAAACTATACCGCTATTTACAAACAACTTTATAAAAAATATAGGAGCATACACTGGCTCCTAGCCGTACAGTAATCTCACATTTGTTTATTGGCATATCCTAACCCCTTTAGAAAGTTTCGAGTTGAGTTTAGGTAAAGCCCTTCTACGGCCCAAGT